GTCAGCCCTTGTCATGGCAATCTGACTTGTCAAGGGCGAGATGGGGGGAGTTTGGTCCAATTATCTCGTCAGTGGTAATCACTCCAACCAACCAGATACACTCAGGCCATCAGCTACCGTATATCTCATTGTGAAATCTGGTTCTCTGTGATTTTGGTTATTCACCAATCATTATTTTAGCTTGTTTCGAATCCTTGCGCATTTGAATATACTGTACAGTGAATATATATATATATATATATATATATATATATATATATATATATATATATATATATATATATATATATATATATATAACTCAAGAAATCGTAATGACACGATTGCAGTCATATTGACGGCAGTGAAGGGACTTGAGCTAGAGTTCGTCACGGCCACGCTAGCTGGAGATTCGTCTGTAAAAACTTGCATTTGTGGTCACAGTGGTGCCTGTGCTAACCTTCCTATGGTGTAGAAATATACCTAGTTGGATGAATCTTATTGTGGCTAGCTGGTCTAGTGGCTAACGCGACGGGCTGGAGTTTTGAGACTATGACCGCGGGTTCAATCCCGGCCGGGGGTATGGTTTGATATATATATATATCGTGCCGAATATGTAAAACTGGTCAATTAGCAACAACTCGTTTAAAATCAAGTCCTTTTTTTTAAATTCTTAAACGTTTAAAAATACATTTTTTTCATTAATGTTAATGTAAAAATTTATAATTTTGCAATAAAAGAATCTTAGAAAATTTACCTAACCTTATTATAAGAAGAGTAATTTATTTTATCCTAACTCAACTAAATATATTTTAGATTTGTTTACAATAATTTAATACTAAACAAACACAGTGAAATATATTTTTTTTCGTTAGGTTAAGAATGATTTTGGCGAAATTATTCCATACACAAATTTTAGCTTGTCCTATATGGCAAGATGAGCGTTGCTATTTAAGCCAAGATCGCAAGTTCTGCCTATTCGGCATGACACACACACACACACATATATATATATATATATATATATATATATATATATATATTTTATATATATATATATATATATATATAAATATATATATATATAATATTTAAGGACACTTATTGAGTTTTTACTTAGTGTACTCAGACCTTGAATCTCTAAGAGGCCTGGTCTGGGACCCGGCCGCGGGGGCACTGGCCCTAGGAAGCGTCCTTCAGGTATCCTTCAGGCACCCCTGCTTATCAATGGAGATATTTTGCACACACTGCCAAGCCTCTTACTTTCATGGGGTATGATTCGCATGTGCATATTTGGAGTCAATCCTAGAATTTTCCAAGTGTAGATAATAATGTATATGTTTCGCCTACGTTCCAAGGAGTACAGATCCAGGGACTTCAAACGTTCTCAGTAATTTAGTTACTTGACTAAATCTAAGCGAGCATTTAAGTTTCTCTGTACGTTCTCCAGGTCTGAAATTTCACCTGCATACAGATTTTAGTAGTTTGCAATGGATGATGCGGTGCTATGATTTATGCCTCTATATCGGATATAAGCATGAACGAGATGTTGGGCGAGTACTATGCCTAGGGAAACAAAGTTTTTCATTAATCAGACTCTGATTTCTATCTTTTCACTATTACATTTTGGGTACTATTTATTAAAACAATAAACATCCATCTGCGCACTTTTCCATTTGTTCCTCTTGCACGCAATTTGTGTACTATTGCACGATCGTACTTATTAAAGCCTTTGGCCTTTGATAAGACCATATATATACTTTACAAATTATTCCTGAGCAACTTCTTTCATATTTGTGACCGTTATTCACTGTTACTGCGCATCTTAGTACTGACCTGCAACAGAAATACTAGATTCGCTGAAACCAAATACACGAGAAATATGGAATTCAAGCATGCACAAAGTGCATAAAATAAAAGACCAAATGAGAGAGGAGGGCGGAAAGTTGTTAAGAGTTTATGAATGTAGATGAGGACAAACAAGGCAGTCATTATGCAGTAGTCAACTGTGCTCTAAAGCAGTGTTATGGCAGCCGGGCATGAATGTTGCCTCTCTCTCTCTCTCTCTCTCTCTTTACACAGGCCTTGACAAGGTTAGGTTAAGGATTCCTAACTTTATTGACAAGCTAAGAGCTGTTACCTACATCATCTCTCTCAGTAACACAAAGACATCTAAAACTACTTAATGGATGAATGTACGATATGACACTGTTTACGGGATATAAGTGAATAACAAAAGAATCCTCAGGCCTCGTAGAGCAGTTCATCGTGTTGAATACCATGTTAGGATATCGTTTCAGACCATGGAGGTGAATCTCTTCTCTAGGCTGTGGGACTAATCACCTCAAACATTATTTCTCTAAGGTTGATGGACTGTTGACATTATCTTCATTTCACTACTATACGTGCTGCTTCTGTATCTTACTTCAAAAGCATACTGTGTAGGCGAAACGTTCCATCAAGAGAGATACCCAACTGTTGCACATGTCTTAATCAGCTCATCAATAAAGCAAGAATCAATACGAAAAAGGTATCTCTAGATACTTAACGCCTAAAACATAATGAATAAACAAAAGGATATATTTAAAAATATATGAAAGTAACGAGTCATAAAAGCGATGCTGATCTTGGTAAATTATTTATGAAGAAATGAAAATGTTTTGAAAATAACTCACACGTATATCTAAAGTGTTAATAATATACAACGCAAGAGAAGTACCAACAAAAAAGAACATTCACTTGAAGTATCACTTTGAATGCTCATAATTCACCAACTTGTACTCTCTGGAGTACATGTACTCTCTGGAGTACATGTATTCCTGGAAAATAAGCGGTGCAATAAAAAGCAGGGTTCATATGCACTAAGATCAATATAAAGGGTCCAAAGATTTTCAACATCTTCCCTTCAAATAAAGTTAAATTATATTAATGTTGGTAGAATTACCCACAATATGTTAAGTAAATGAACACAAGTTAAGAACATAAGAACATAAGAACATAAGAACGAAGGAACACTGCAGAAGGCCTACTGGCCCATGCGAGGCAGGTCCAAGTCTCCTACCGGCTTAAGCCAATGCACCCAACCTAGACAGGTCAGGTCACATTGACTTAAGGGAGGAACACGGCAACCGACCTGTTAGCACAAGCTATCAGGTCTAACTCACACCCACCCACATCTACTCATGTATTTATCCAACCTATTTTTAAAGCTACACAACGTTCTGGCCTCTATAACGGTACTTGGGAGTTTGTTCCACTCATCCACAACTCTATTACCAAACCAGTACTTTCCTATATCCTTCCTGAATCTGAATTTTTCCAACTTAAAACCATTGCTGCGAGTCCTGTCTAGGCTAGATATTTTCAGCACACTATTTACATCCCCTTTATTTATTCCTGTCTTCCACTTATACACCTCAATCATATCCCCCCTAATTCTACGTCTTTCTAGAGAGTGCAGTTTCAGGGCCCTTAGTCTATCCCCATAGGGAAGGTTTCTGATACAGGGGATCATCTTTGTCATCCTCCTTTGTACATTTTCCAGAGAATTATATCCATTCTGTAATACGGTGACCAAAACTGTGCAGCATAATCTAAATGAGGCCTAACCAAGGATGTATAGAGTTGAAGAACAACCTGAGGACTCCTATTATTTATGCTTTTTGGGAATAAAACCCAAAGGGATTCTATTAGCTTTATTGCGAACACTTATCACTGTTGTTTTGGTTTTCAGTTTACTGCTAACCAGAACTCCTAAATCTTTTTAGCAGTAATCTGAAACCAAGACAACAGTGCATAAGTGTTCGCAACTAATGTGACATTTTATTGTGGCAACGTTTCGCTCTCCCGGAGCTTTTTACCTAACAACGTTAAATTAACAATAAACCTTTTTTTTTTTTCAACCTGATCATTCGAACTACATTCGTTTCGCACTAAGGCAGAGTGACAAGAAAAAGAAGAAACACTTTCATCATCGTTCACTCCATCACTGTCTTGCCAGAGCCAAACCTACACTACAGTTAAAAAATATGCAACATATCAACACTCCTCTTTCAAAGTGTAGGCACTGTACTTCCCATCTCCTGGTTTCAAGTCCGGCTAACCGGTTTCCCTGAATCCGAGAGGAGTGGAGGCAAATGGTTTTTATGCCTTGACGTGCTGTTGGCGTGTGCTCCAACAGAACGTCAAGTCATAAAAAGCATTTGCCTCCACTCCCTCCTATCGAGAACGCTCACGCACGCTTGCTGGAAGTCTAAGCTCTTCGCAAACAAAACCACCTTTACCCTCTCCCTCGAACCTTTCCTAGGACGACCCCTACCCGCCTTCCACTACAGATTTATACACCCTCCAAGTCGTTTTATGTTTTATGAATGTTTTATAAAAACATATATTAACACTTCAAGTAAAACACTAACGGGAGGAAGGAGTAGCAGGGAAGTGGAGGAGAGAGAAAGGAGGGAAGAGGAAAGACGAAAGAGAAGAAAGGAGGGAGGGAAGATAGGCAATGAAGAAGGGAATAAAGAGGAAGTTAATAGGGGAGGATGGAGAAAGGGGAGCCCCAAAAAAATGGTTAAGGGAGTGAGGATGCGAGAAAGAATGGAAGGAAGGGTGAAGGAAGGAGAAAAGAGGAAGAAACACTACGTTATTGTTCACACTTGACACTAAACCATTCTTAGTACGCTGTTTTCATGCTTGTATATACACATACGCACAAACTTGAACACAACCCGCGCACGCTAATGTAACATTATCCGTTGAGCACTGAATGTCATTACCACAAATTACATACAAGAAAATTCCTTTAGAAACAACTGTTTATTATGCCAAACGTCCAGAACATTTTTATGTTATGATGGGGAAGCTCTAAACCCGTAATTGTCGTACCGTGCCTGGGTAATGAGAAGGAATCAAGTTCGATGGAAGGAGGGGAAGGTAAGTTCAGTTCCTTGGATCAAGAGCCCTTCATTAACACCAAGATTCTTTTCTTTCATTCCCTGATAAATATACTCTTGGTGACTTACCTTCTGTTGTTGGTAAATCCGTCAAGCTGGCCATCTGTAACAGAGGAACAGAGACGTCAACGGTTGTACACAGATTTTCATGTAAAGTTGTTACTCCTTAATGGTTAAATTAGCGAATAAAATGGTAAAACAGCAGTTTTACTGACAGCCTTATCCTCTCGCACGACACTGAAATTATACGGTCGTCGACTGTGTCAGCTGCCAACTGTTATGTGCACTCCACACACACACTCATCCCTGCTACACTGTATTTATGCTCACACGTCACACTAACCCACCAGTAACTCAGCCACAGGCTTCCAACGAAGCTTTTGCTTTCTATCCATGGGCAAGTCTCCTTCCATCTGCCTCTTTTCAACTAGCAGTATATAGCTACCTAGATTTGCTCCTGTAATTGTAAATAATCACAAACAGGTAATCTGGGAAGCACACGGCGATATCTACCTATTCACTCAGGAAACAACAGGCAGCCTGGGTGAAAGGCAGACACAACAATGAAGAAGTAACAGGTTACAAATAAAGTATTGTGATCCTGCAAATATATACGAGTGAGAAACAGAAAGAAAGAGAGAAAAAAGGTGGAGGATGAGAATGTTAGGATCGTGCAAGTATGAGAGAGAGAAGAGTGGTAAGTTGAGGATGAGTGCGAATCTGAGAAAATATAAGTAAAGGGAGGCTTAAAACAAGTGAGAAAGAGTGGGAAAGTACCGAATAAAATACAGTAAAAGAAAACTTTAGAATCGTACTCAAAGGATGATACAGCACCATGATTTGTGTTCATGTCTGATAAGAGACTGAGAAAGAGAATCAAGGAGAGTACTGTGCCTTGTGGAACAGATTTCCTTTGGAAGGCCTCTGATTTTACTTTGTTTGGCCAAATTAATCAGTAAAGCGAACAACCATCTAACTGCTCACTATTAACACAATGATTAAACTTGTCGAATGTTTTTGCATAGGCTATGTTGCATAGTTATTTTGTAATGTAAGAGTGAACCAAGTGCCAGACGCAGGAGCGATCTGTAATCTAATCTCATGTTGATCTTGTAAGCATTATACACAGTTTAATATTAGAGTATGACGAAGCCCTAGTCATCAGAAACCCGCAAAGCCCGTTGATAAGGAGTTTCAAGGCAGACCAGGAACTATAATTCGACTCTTACTCCCCCCCAAACACACACCCTGAAAACAACTAGATAATGCAGAAGGAAGAATAATGCACAATACTGTGACTAGAACAATACACGCACAACCCTAACATAGAGAGGAACTCATGACGTTCCGGTATGACTTGGACCATTCACAAGTCGTCATCAGCTTCTGTCTCCTATTTGCGTGTTATTTGTGTTTTATAGGTAACTGAACATTTGACCGCTGCTCGACCCAATAATCTTTGTCTTGACAATCTTAAAACCCGAATTTTGTGTTAGAGGTACTTGCTACTGGTTCAGCAGAGTGTGTGTGTGTGTGTGTGTGTGTGTGTGTGTGTGTGTGTGTGTGTGTGTGTGTGTGTGTGTGTGTGTGTGTGTGTGTGTGTGTGTGTGTGTGTGTGTGTGTGTGTGTGCGCGCGCGTGAGCGCGCAAGAAAAATGACCACTAACGAGCTGACTCGGGCGTAGGTGCAAGGGACCAAGCTGACACTGCTACAAACTTCCAATACAACTACACAGTTTTAAAGCAAGCTATTTTTCTCATACACTAAAATAACATCCCCTTCACTCCCTCTCCTTCCCCCCCCACAGGCGCGCGCGCGCACACACACACTACGTGAAGAGGTTAGGGAAAACCAACCTGACGACAGTGGAAGACAGGAGGAATAGTGGGGGGGGGGACATAGCATATAAAATGCTTAGAGGAATTGACAAGATAGATAGTGACAGAATGTTTGAGATGGGACACAGCAACAAGGGGTCACAGCTGGAAGCTGAAAACTCAGACGAGTCACAGGGATGTTAGAAAGTATTTCTCCAGTCAGGAAGTGGAACAATCTGGAGAGTGATGTAGTAGAGGCAGGATCCCCATACACAGCTTTAAGAAGAGGTACAATAAAGCTCTTGGAGCAGGGAGAGAGTGGACCTAGTAACGACCAGCGAAGAGGCGGGGGCCAGGAGCTATGAATCAACCCTTGCAACTACAAATAGGTGAGTACTCACACACATACACACAAACACACACACACACACACACACACACACACACACACACACACACACACACACTGAAGAAGCCTACTGTGTAGGCGAAACGTTTCGGAATAAAGATACCTAACTGTTGCACATGTGTCTTACTTATCAACTTCTCGGTATTGTATATCATTATCATATTCAGACCCTTGGTTGTCTTAAGAGCTAACTGCATAAGGTGAAGTTAGTTCCTGATCAGCCGGGCTGTGGTGCCTATGATCAACTACGTGAGGCTAGTACCAACAACCTGATTGACCAGGTCATCAACCAGGCCTAGTCTAGGACCTGGCCCCGTGGGGCGCTAAGCCACTGGAATTGTCTTCAGTTAACTTCAGGTAACAAGCTTAACACAAGTGCCAGTGACCCAGTTCTAAACAAAGTCTTCGTTGGCATATTTCAACAAGGTTCCTCTCTGCTTGTATACATCAGTTCCATGTGGATTTGTGTAAAAATACACAGTATATAGGTCATGTCATTTTACTTACGAGGAAGTTTCGTTCACTAGGCGGACGAAAAGTCTTCATAAATCAAATATGCCATATCCCTCATGTTGTCTTTTGTTTACATAGTGTCGATATATTCTACCACACTATTACCTCCAGGTCCTCCTGGAGACCTCCAGCTCCTAGGAGTCTCCAGCACCTTGGAGATCCCAGCTCCTTAGAGACCCTAGTTCCTTTTTGCAGCAGAGAAATGAAGATAAAGAAAACTCATATAGGTGTAACCCTTTGCTGGAGGGCAAGTTACGCCTCTATGCCTCCGTCACATGGGGTCGCATCTCACCTGAAGCAGGCAGCCATTCCCCGCCAGCAGGAGTCGACGCGGCTTACAAACTCACAACATGTGCATCTTTCATGCAGTCAACACTAGCTGAAAGAACCACTGGCTCCTCCACCAACACCACCAGTGCCACGTTCTGACATCTATCCATCCCTTCTCCCCTTTCCCAGTCAGTCAGTCTCTGTGTCTCTCTGTCTGTCTGTCTGTCTGTCTGTCTGTCTGTCTGTCTGTCTCTCTCTCTCTCTGTCTGTCTCTCTCTGCTGGGAGTTAACATCACGCCGAACGTCCAAGTGCCTCTGGTTCAATATATCAACATTCTGACATTCCGCTGAATTGATGCACATGCTGGACCTATATTGAATTTTACATTAAATTTAGCCTTTAGTGCTTCTGGAAACCGGCCAAACTTACTAATGCTTATATTCACAGCTTCTGACATCCAGTAGAAAGCAGGGATGGCACAAGAGTATTGCAATCATGGGGAAGCGATAAACCCACAAGTTATACAACATCTAACCATTATTAAAGATAACTGTCACCCGGTGGTGCAAAGACCCTTCAACTTTATACCAATAGTTATCAGAAATGATGCTGAAAATTATTAAAGGACTTAAGAAAACATTTCACAAGTTCCTGATGTGTCTACGTCAGACTACAAGCCACAAGCACCTACACTGTCTGACCACTGTCAACCTGGAGGTCTCGATTAAGACCAGGTCGAAGAGGTGATGATTCCCGGAACCATCACCAGGTCATTATCAGGTCACGATCAAACCGTGACCTGATGATTAAGGAAAGAGCGAAACGTGGAATGAAGATTAATCTCCAATTTATGGATTAGTCCTTAATTCTTCATGACTATGTAGGCCTGCTGGTATCAACAGCTTGGTTGATCACCAGGGTAGCCTGGCCTGATTCTCGGATGCCAGTAAAGAAAGAGCTGGAAACCGGTCAGTGTTAAGTTCATCTATCAGCATATACCAGACAGACACATCTTAGTGGTGGTGTCCTTGTATAGTCACTTATTCATCAAAATCTCGTCAAAACTTTTAAATGAAGCTGTAAACCCGTGTGGATCATTCAGCGCAGAGAGAGTGGAGGCTCGAACTTCGGTCCGCTAGCTCAATGTAGAATAACCGAATGCAAAACAGGTACACTAACAGATAACTCGATAAGCATAAAAGAACCGAAGTTAAAAAAAAAGTAAACAAACAATAGGGGAATATCAACATACTGTCTACAACAGGGAACTGATCGGCTTGGCTGTGAAGCTTGCTTCCGACTGGGTGGAGCGAGCACCAACGGCCTCACTGTTCGGGTTATCAGCAGAGGCTTCTTCTAGGCCAGGACAGTACGGCTGATAATCCTGGCAACAATCTTCAGGTTCCAATTTGGTAATGATTCCGAGGACCATCATCTCTGCGTCCCGGTCCTAAACCTGTCCACCTGGCTCTACCAGTAAAGCTGTTGGTGATAGCAACACGCAATCCAATGTATACCTGGAGTATACATGTTGTGTCCCAGGGGTCAACGCCCCCGCAGCCCGGACCATGACCAAAGCTTTTTGAAAGTCAACTTCAGGTACACCTCAAGCGCCGTTGGTTGGCTGAAGGTCGTACTGCAGACAGAAATGAATAAAAAAAAAAACAAGTGACAGATAGATTTATCAAAAATTCCAAGTAACGTAAAACGTTGTCTTAACGAAGTCTTGCTCTGCTATGTGCGTGTCTTGACCGTACCACGGTGCTCCAATTCAATCTATTACGGCCTTTTACCTACGCAAGTCTCCCCCCCCCCATATTTATTTGCGTCTCCTAGCACGGGCTGACAGATTGCAACTATGTATGTAACTTACCCTGTGTCGTGGAATACGAAAGAGAAATATAGCTTCTGTTCCCAAAATGTAACCTGACCCATCCTGTGTGACAGATTATGACAGGGAAACAGCTTTTGTTCGCACTATATAACCATCATATAGAATAGCGTAGGAGCACACTGTGAATGTATTCAATTTACTAAGTTGCTGTTGGTGAACCTGCTATGAACCGTGTGCGTCTCCTCCACCACCCTTGTGT